CGCCATGAAAACCTTTGATTTTGAGTTGAAATCATGTGAAAAGATGTTAAAGATTGAAGAAAAACGAGTTAGAAACAACTTACAATCGATTTGGAGAAGAAATTATCTTTGAAAAATCGCCCAAGAGTGTTTTTGTTTTGAAAGAGTGTGAAAATGGTTGAAATGCGTCTAAGTTATGAATTTACAGGTCTCTGATGTCGTAATTGCGAACCCAGAAGTTTGCTATGCTCGCATTTGCGAAGGGACTTTCGCATTTGCGAAGTCACTTTTGCGATAAATCTGTCGCATTTGCGACACTGGGGAAATCTGGGCCACTTCGCAAATGCGATGGCCCGTTCGCATTTGCGACAACGCGTTTGCGATGACTGCTTCGCATTTGCGACCCCAAGGCAGACCGGGTCCTTTCGCATTTGCGGTTGTTTTCTCGCATTTGCGAGCCAGGCTTCGCATTTGCGAAGCCTGCAGACCTGATCATACGAGCTGAAAAACCTGCAATTTCCTAAGTAAAAATTTCCACTCTGTGGCCTATCCAAAACTCACCCGAGCCCTCGGGGCTCCAAACCAAACGTGCACGTCAACTTAAAAACATCATACGGACTTGGTCGTGCATTCAAATCACCAAAATAACATCAACAACTATACATTTAGTATCAAAACCATGAAATCACTTTAGAACATCAAATTTTCCAAATTTTCTCAAATAAGGTCCGATTCACGTCGTTTCAAGTCCGTTTCTTACCAAACTTCACAGACTCAACTTAAATCACATATAAGACCTGTACCGGGCTCCGAAACCAAAGTACGGGCCCGATACCATCAAATTTCAAACACATTTCATTTCCAAAAACTCATATATATTTTTTCCAGAAAATAATTTTCTTTAAAAATTCATTTCTCTGGCTTGGGACCTCGGAATTCGATTCCGGGCATACGCCCAAGTCTCATATTTTCCTACGGACCCTACGGGACCGTCAAATCACGGGCCCGGGTCCGTTTACCCAAAATGTTGACTAAAGTTAACCATAATTAAATTTTAACTCTATAAATTTCTATTTCTCATATTTTCACATAGAAGGCTTTCCGTATATAGGCCCGGACCACGCACGCAAATCGAGGTGAGGTAAAAAGGAGGTTTTTAGGCCTCAGAACACTGAATTTGTTTCTAAAACAAGTGATGACCTTTTGGGTCATCATACAAACCAAATTTGATCGGTTTTTAAAATTCAAAACGAAAACCAAACCAAACCAAAAGGTATGGGTTTTTTGGTCGGTTTGGTTTGGTTCGAACTTTTGGGTTTTTATGAACACCCCTACTTGGGGGAGACCTGTATCCAACAAAAAAGTGAGGTTAGCCAATTTTCCTACGCACAAAGATAGAATGAAGGCAAAATCAGTTTACCATGATTCTTGGCCCTCCACCCGTACTTGGGGCCCAACTCTTTCCACCAGCGGGTCTCAAGCATGGTTATGTCCAGAATCTTCTAAACCCACTGGTCCAGGCCTTCAACCCTTGGTGGTGTCCACCGAGTTGCTGATATAATGAAAGGAGAAGGGTTAGCAATGATATGAAACTGCCTTTTTTCAGAAAAAAGATATAGACTTTGAACTTACGTGAATCAGTCCAGGACTCAGTGAAGGATGGAGTTGTGCCCGGGATGATATCATGGTAGTAACAAACCGCTCCATCCATCCACGGTCGTTGTCGTCATCCATGCTGGTGAGCAAAGCATGGTGGCCACACTTGCTGAAATTATTACTCCCCCATGAAAAATCTTGGGGGAGTAGAGGTTCATCATTTGAGCCAAGGTGAGGTCCTCCTTCATTTCCTGGAACAGACGCCGCAGACAGGCCACCGTTCGCCACACCGAAGAGCCCACCTGTGCCAAACAAATCCGGTACCAGTGGCATAGCTCCAGCATCACGGGGTCAAGTCCACCCCTCAAAGAAAACGCACCCAAAGTGAAGGGGTACGTGTAAACATACGTGAAACCCTTCTTAGTGAAGGTTACTCACTCCACCAGATAGGGAGCAATGATATTTAGGTCATGGCAATCACAATCCTCCTTCACAACAGGAATACTAGAAGGGCGAATAGAAGAAGGCAATTTTCCAACAGCCCACGAGCGAGAGTTTGAAGAAGGAAAATTCTCTTCGAAGTTCTTGGCTATGTTGAGATGTTTGGGGATGATGATGCTCACCGTAGGAGGATCAACATCAACATCGACCTCTTTTTCCTTGTTCCTCCTAGGTCCCCCACCAAAGAGAAGGCTGGAGTTCTTGAAAAAATTAGTAAAAGAAGCCATAATCAACAGAAGGTAATTAGAGTTTCTGAAGAGGATTAAAGAAAGATGAAAGCAGAAAAGAGTTGAATGCAAAGAAGTTGAGATAGTTAATGGAACTGATAAGTGTAAAAGAAGAAGAACAAGGCGTATAAATAAAGGAATAGGCAGCTAAATTTGTTCGGAGTATTAAATCAGGAACGTGCATCTTATTAAGCGTCAGAAACTTTTCAAAAGGGTTTAGAAAATTTTCCGCCAAGAAAGGAATCTTCACCAACTTTCTGGTGACACAAAGATATGCTACCGAAAAGTAGTGGAACTATCTGTATAGGAAAAAATTGATTTATATTAAATGATCATATGGTAGCGTGACACGTGGAATCGGAAACAGATGGAAGATGAAGCGAGTAGAAACCAGGTCCGAGGACAACAACTTTAGTTGGCACCGGAAAGATCCCGAAAGGAACAACGTCAATGGAAGCAAATGGATGTTTGTCACCATATGGCATTTAATGAAGAATATTCCTCAGTATTAAATAACGCGACCGTTGTAGAGATTTTTGGCATTCATGGCCTACCGTTACATATTCATCAATGACCCTCATTATTGTCATTTAAGAGGGGCTTGATCCTAAGACCTTGTTCCCTAGGTATAGCTATAAATAATGGCTTCAACAACCATTGAATGACAGGAAAATTCGGACAAACTTATGTTACACACTATTTCAAGCTGAATAATACTTTATTTTATGTCTAACATTATTCTTATCGCTGCCTTCGGAAGCCCGCTCCCGAAACCAAGTTGTCTGGTATTTTATCTCGATTTCAATGCTATGTCTCATATTTTATTTAGTTTATTTATCATTTTGGGATCAAATCGATTCACTTGTCTATAAAATAACGCTATAAATTCAACTGTACCGTTTTACAGGTAAACAGTTATATACTTACAATATATGGTTATGGATATATCTTACATAAATTTTATATATATATATATATATATATATATATATATATATATATATATTATACATTTTTAATTTGCCCCTCACGCTGGGTAAAAGCTTAAAGCAAATTAAAAGGGAAAAGGCAAGTGAATTTACGGGTAATAAGTATACTATTATAGTATATTGTATACTATTACAGCATACTGTTACAGTATATTGCATATTATTACAGTATACTATAACAATATATTGTATACTATAATAGTATACTGTTGCAGTATAACTATATACTCCTATAGTATAGTGTATACTGTAGCGGTATACTGTTAGGTAACTGTGTTCTTCTTCGATTATTACAATATACCGTTGCAGTATATTGTAAACTATAATAGTATACTGTTGCAGTATATAGCTATATACTCCTACAGCATGTTGTATACCGTAGCAGTATACTATTGGGTAGCTGTGTTCTTTTTCGATTTTCAACTGAAATTTCCAACTCAATCACCTCAAATCAGCTCCAAATGCTATCAAATTTCAGTATGAACTTCCAGAAGGTATTATAAGCAATATTGAACAGCACCCACTTTGAATCAGATAAGAAATCTTCAAAATAAAAATTTTAAGCCAAGGCAAGAGCAAGAGCTAGGAAAAGAACAATCAAGAAAAAGTGGAGCAGAATTGAAACTAGTAGAGGTCAACTTCTCAGATAATCAGATCTAATTTCTTTTTGAAGAAGGATATAAGGGAAATGGAAGAATAATTTTGTAAGAACAAATTACAAGTAAGTCAAGAAGTAGCAAACAAGAAAATAATTCAAGGATCTGGAGTTACTAAAATTAAGACCAAGCCTTCTTTAATCTTGGGTCTTCACCCAAATTTCTCTGCTCCTATAGAGTCATCAACTACCTACTAGGGGTAACCTGAAGTTGTGCCCTCGTCCAAATTCTTAGTGTAGAAAGAAGAGCTATTTTAATAGAATAAATGAATAACCAGGTAAATAGTTTGGGCCGCATGGGTAGGAGTAGTAAATAGTTTGGGCCTGAGCATTAAAGGGTAAATAGTTTGGAATTAATGGCTATAAAGTGAGATTTTTTCTAGGTTAAATGGGGGCGGCCAAATAGGACGCCTCGTGCACTTTTTACAAAAAAGGATGGTAGGAGTTACTGGGTGGGCTAAGATATGGGCTCAAGCATTCAAAAGGCCAAAATTTCACGGTATAGCCAGTTTTCGGACTGGTCAATCAAAAATAGCCAGTGTTTACCAAGTCAATGAAAAATAGCCACCGTTTTGCTGCAATAGAGACCGGTCCAGCATAATATACTAGAGTTCGGTGCACTTGTGTATGAACTCCAGCATATTATGCTGGACCGGTATACTTTGCTGGCTCCAGTATAATATACTGGAGACTGGAGCACTGGTGCTCCAAACTCCAGTATATTATACTGGACCATTATACTTGCTGGAACTCCAGTATATTATGCTGGAGTTCTAGTGTATTTATGCTGGAACTCCAGCATATCCAGTATAATATGCTGGAGTTCAAGTATACTTATGCTGGAACTCCAGCATAATATACTGGAGTATTTTTCGGGTTTTGAATAGTGTTTTCGCTCAGATTTATCTTTACATAAAAAGTGGCTAAATTTCGATTACTTTTGAAATTGGGCTATTTTTGAACGACAAGTTGTAAATCTGGCTATTTTTAAAAATCACCCATTCAAAAGTGATCACTCTGTGAAACATAACCAGCCCACTCCATTTAAAACTTCATCACCTTGTACAACTCCTACAGTTGCTCGGGCGCCAAACTCACTCTCTAGGGCTTCAAACTTCACTTCTCTTCTCCTTCTCCGCCGCTAACCGCCGCGCCGCTGCCTGTCTTCCCGGTGCCTCGTTTTCTCCTCCACCACTGAAAAATTCTCTTTCTACAACTAAAACGAAATATCCATCTTTTCTCAATGTCTTTGCTGGAAGTTATAACCAAAGCTTCGACTGAACATTCTCCAACCACCTCCGAGGGAAATTACTCAATTGTTCTTAGCGGAGAACCAGTTCTGCTTCAAGTGAAACCGGAAAAGGAAGAGGACGACGGCGTATCGCTAGTCAAACGAGGTACTGGATGGAGAGTTTTATCAACTGATGTTGAATTAATCGAGTTAGGGAAAAATTTCATCAAAAAATTGAAGAGGAAGATGAAAAACCCTAAGACATTCAACAAAGACGACTTCTTTGGGATGTTTGTTGCCTACGTGGCAGAAATTTGGGAGAAATTTGGTGTTTCAATTCATGTGGATGGGTTGGATGAGGGCAATATTGTAAAATTGACCGAAAAGGTGGGTAATTTTATGGGTAGAGATGTTAAGGCTTTGGTTTTGGAAGCGTGTTTTGTTTTAGAGAGTTGGGAGGTTTTGGGGAGTTTGATTGTTAATGGGCTTGTTGAACATTCATGCTTATCGAATTTGATAAATAACCTAATTGAAAAGAAGCAATCTTGGTTGGTTGTTTTGTGTGTAAAGCATGTTTTAGATATTCAAACTTATGATATGATTCGTGTGTTGAAATACTTTCTTTCCCTTCCAAAAAATGGGGATAGTAGCTTGACTTTTGTGAGGAAGGAGTGGGAGAGTCAAGCAATGTCTGCAATTGATAAGGCAATGGACACGAGCCTTGGTCCGGATAGGATGAGTCTAGCTAGGGATGCTTCATTTTTGCTTATGCTAGCACATGATGGGTTTTCGGTTTACGAGATGTGTTTGCATTACTTTCTTGCGTCGAGGAATGTTGATGAAGTTATTTTGGGTGCTTGCATTAGTAAATTAACGGGTTCAGAGATAATGGTTTTGATCCGGTACCTGCAAAAGTGGTTGAATAAGTATGAGAGGTTTCCTCAGGTGTGTCCTTGTCCTAAGGCATCATTTGAATTGGGGTTGAAGGCTTGTGAATGGGCTCCTTCACTTGAAGACGTAGTCAAGTGTCTCGGTTTGGTTGTAGATGAGCACTTCTCTTCTTTGGTCTTGCATCAAGAGTTTCATGAGGAATTGAAATCTTTAGATGAAGTTGTCAATTCCTTAACTGCAGAAGCAAAAGTATGTGGCATCATGTCAAATTTGACTGAGGCATTGAAAAAGCAAACTCAAAGGTTTGTGATTGAACTTGAATCTTCTATATTATCTCTATATCTCTTGTCTGAATTCTTTGTTATACACACTTCTTTCCACTATGTATTGACATCTTAGAAAGTTTTTATTTCAGGAATGTACTATATAGTAGGTATAAGTATTCAATATTTTCCTGACTTCATTTCTCAGGAGAATGTACAATGGTCGGTATAAATGTTTTTCAGTTTTTATATTTTTGTGGTCGGTAGAAATTTATAATCAGAGCATAACCAAAATCACGTAGTGTTGATATAGAAGATGGTAACACATTTATAGTTGTTGCTGCTGATATTTCAGTAAGCATCTGTTTCACTTTATTAATAAAAAAATGCCATCTTGGTAACATCGTGTGTGGTCCATTCTTAGATATTGAATAGCTTGGAAAGGTAGTAAAATTGCTGATCTTTGGATGTTGTGAACTTGACCGTGGCATTCATAGATACTAAGTAGCCTAGAACGGTGGTATAATTTCCTATCTTTGGATGGTGTAACTTGATCATTCATAGATATTGAATAGCCTAGAACAGTGGTAAAAATGCTAATCTTTGGATGATGTGAACTTGAATCTAGAACTTCCATAGCCATGTTTTGAATCACAGATTAGTGAGTATGATAGAGATAGAGCATACGACCAATTCAAATGCAATCCAAAATAAATAGCACGGCAATGGTATGTGATTTTGTTGTACATCAGGAGATTTGTGTTTAATAGCTTTATTAAGTGATTTGATGTATTTTATTCATCAAAAAACATGATTTGATAAATTATAAAATTATCAAGCCTTCCAATTATATGGCATACTAGAGTAGCTTGAAATTCCAATTTCTTCCTTTGCAATTAATGGAGGTGAAGTGCCTATTGAGGAAAGCCCCATTCAGCAATGTTTGACAAAAAATCACTTTATGTTATTGTACTTTCTAGACAACCAAGAATGAGAAAAAAAGCGTCAAATGTAATCTGGACCACTATTGCTGCCAAGTTAGATATGCCTGGTTACATCTTGTATTACAGTCATTGCTGCTGCTGTTGACATTTTCCCTTTATCAAATCCATCTCCTCGTCCTCCTCTAGGCCAACTATTTCTTCCAGTGCTACTTGCAACTAGCACAAATACCACCAGGTCAAATTGCCACCCGTATTATCAGCTAAATCAGTTTTCAGAAGCATTAACCTAGCTTTGTCTCGTTCACTGTGTCTCCATCTGTATTTATACACTTGGTATAGTCTAGACAAGTAATATTGATAGAAAAGAAGGTGGTCGGATGGAAGATGAAGCAGACTTGTGTGCACAGCTGCTTGCAGTTCAGTTTAGTACTTTGGCTACTGTTGGTGTAGTCTCTTCTCCCTACTTGGCAAGGAAGTTGTGATACTTCACATTATAGTGGACCGTAATGAAGCTCTCAAATGCACTGAAGCTGAGCTCTGTTGATGATTCTATCAACTATTAGTAAAATAATGTTTTCCTTATTTAAAACACCGGATGATTTCTTCTCATATGCCTAAGCCTTGGTGGCAAAGCTACCCGTACCTGTGCTAGTGCAGGTAGCTTGCTAAGTTGCTCGGACTCGAGTCGGGTATCCGATCCGGGTGCGGATCCAGAGGTCGGATCCTTTATAATCTAAATTTTAAGATTTGGGGGGATCTAGGTACGGATATGGGTGCAGGAATTCGGCAAAAAATAATTCTAAATTCTAAAAATAGATATATTATTCAAGAGGAAAAGCTGTAAATGAGACAAAAGGAGTAGAATTTGCTACCTCGCAGCAGCAGAATATTGAAGGTATGCCATTTCCCATGGCTTTAAATCAGTACTAGCTTTTATCTTGAGAAATCAAAATTCAGTTTTTCCTCAATTTGTCCACGGATTGTGGTCAAAGTAGCTGATCTCGATTGACCACATCCGTTACTAATATCAAAACCTTACCCGTACTAGTGTCGTGTCGACGCGTGTGTGGCGCCTAAAATGAAGAGTCCGTGCATCATAGGTAGCAGGTACCTTGAGGAATAATCGAGGTGTACACACTAGCAGGCCCCAGAACATCCGTCATTAGAAAAAGGAAAAAGATCCCTTATTTATGCAAACAGGTATCCTGTGTTATGCTTAAATCTATTTCCTTTGTGACTATTGTCAATATATGAGTAGTTCAATCTTTTCTTTCATTACTTATTTTTCCCAATTTTCCTACTCTCAACTTCGATGCAAGGCGTCAAGGATATCTACAAACAGTGAAGTACATGATTAATGGATGTACTTGTGCATTATTATGTTCATATTAGAGATTCCTTATACTTGTGAAATATGAATTTCTTCACTATGTTTAAATTAAGAAGCATAATTCTACTCTATTGCTCAATTCTATTTTATGATATGGATTTTGATTTGCAAGCTCTTGAAGTTCTCTAGATGGGACGCTTTGACAGTCAAAGTATTTGCAGGCTAGTTGGCGATGCAGCTTACGAGTGATCTCTCCTACTTTTTCAGTTTATGCTGAATATGCAGTTGAAGGATCTCTGACAAGATCAATGACGTTGCTGGAGTTTGCTCTGTAATTTTGCCAGTCACACTCTAATGGGTGAATGTTTTGGTTGCCAATTGAAAGAGTCAACCGATTTGGAGCTCCCTTTCTCTTGACTTCGACTACACGAGACACAAAGAAAAGAATGCAGACTTGTATTTTCATTTAAGGTATACACTAGATGTTATTTGCAGGGCAAAGGTCAAATTTCATGTTTTCTGTACTAAGCTAGTTAAGCCAAGTATCGGGCAAGTACATCATTCGTTTAAATTGTGATATGGTTTTGATTAGTTTAAAAACAGTGTTAAAGTAAATTCGAAAGCTCAAGAGATCGGAAAATTATTTTTTTGGAGAACATTTGTGTAGTTATAGAGAACCATGTATTTGGGTTGCTTTTTGCTAATCTTTCTTTCTTTCTTTTGTTTAAAGACTCTAAGTAGGGTGATTTACTTGAATACATCATTTAACTTGTGTTTGGGTACTTAGTTGTGGATATTTTTTAAAACCAAATTGGGGGAATTGACTTCTCTTAGTTTTGGACGGAAGTAATTCTTTAACATAAATCCTAACTCTTAAATTATTACTTACTTTGATCAACATTTGGACATTATTATTAATATAAAGCTGAAACTATCACCTTTACACTGTCGCATACAATTTCTTCAGTTTTGTAGGGTTAATGTGTTGACTACATTGTAATAAATCTCTCACGGATAGCATTTTTCTTGCGTATAAAACGCATTTGGTTTGTAAGATTCCTTCACCAAATATATATATATAGTAAAGATTCATAGGCATCGGTATTTATCCTCATGAAATTTTAGGATAACACGATCGCGTTAAAAAATGTAAAAATAAGAAGAGAAGAAAGACTACTAAATAATTTAAGAAGTCACTGAGGAGAAACAAATATAGATAATTTCAAGCCATTACCTGGCTCATAAAAGATAGATAAATAATTCATTTTATTTTGTAGTAAATTCATAGAAAATTTAGGAAACACCAGCCAATATATCTGGATTAAACAGTTTATCCAAAGAAACAAGTAGACCAACAGTTGACCGTTAGAGGTAAAAGCGGTTCCCCACTTTTCCCTCTCTATTCCTCATTCTCACATTTACTTGTAGCACTTAGTGGTATTTAAACACACTCTTCTCCCTCTCAGATAAAGAAGCCAAACATATGGCCTCTCCATAATTGCTAGATTTAAAGCCTACCCATTACTATTAAAAATCATCCCTATTTGTCAGAGGAAAGAAAGATAGGGGAATAATTGATTAAGTAAAACAAGAAAAAGAAAAAAAATTGTACACATATAGCTATTGAGAATGGGAACTCTCAAAAATAGGTTGATTTTCTTTGTTTTAGTCACTCTAGTTTTAAGCATAGAGGCCAATATTAGTGAGTTTGATGAGGTGTGGCAGACTCGAGCTACGCAAGCAAAGAAAACTGCTCAGGATTCCTATAATACTCATCCTGAAACCGTCGCAGACAATCTCAACAAACATGTTCACAAGTATTACTTCTCTCACATTTCTTGCTTTTAGACTTTCTCCTTTTCCCTTCTTTGTTTCTTTAAAGTTTGAGAAGAGCTGGCAAATTATATATGTATACGCATTATATATACAGAGTTTCTGCAGCAAAATGTTAAAATGTCATAGACGAATTCACGACCTAAAACCTTTTCTGAACATCATTTTGGTACTACACTAGAAGCTTTTGTTACGTCAATGGGATTCAATAATCAACATATATACATAAAACGAATTCATATAGTTTCATGTCAAGATTACTTTTTTCTAACACTGAAAACAAACATTTTTGAAAAAAAATTAATAATTAAAAAGAAGATGCAAGTCAAACCTCACATTTTCATCGTATTTATTTTGAAGGTCGGATGAAGGTAGCAATAGCACAAGGAGAGACTTGCACAAGTACAATGGTCCATGCATGTCTACTAACCCTATTGATCGTTGTTGGAGATGTGACCCAAACTGGGCTAAAAACCGCATGAAGCTAGCTGATTGTGTTCTCGGATTCGGCCACCATACAACTGGTGGCAAAGGTGGCAAAATCTACGTAGTAACTGACCCTTCAGACGACGATATGGTGAATCCTAAACCAGGAACACTGCGCCATGCAGTCATTCAACCAGAGCCACTTTGGATCATATTTAAACATCACATGGTCATTAGGCTTAACCAGGAACTTATCATGACAAGCAACAAGACAATTGATTCCAGAGGGCAACAAGTACACATTGCCTTTGGTGCTAGTTTCATGTTACAGTTCATTAACAATGTGATTATTCATGGTCTTCATATCCATGATATTAAGGCTGGTAATGGTGGCCTAATCAGAGACTCGATCAATCATTATGGTTTTCGATCAAGAAGTGATGGTGATGGTATTTCAATCTTTGGATCCACAAATATTTGGATTGATCATGTTTCCATGTCTAATTGTGATGATGGACTCATTGATGCTGTCCAGGCTTCAACTGCTATTACCATTTCCAACTGCCATTTCACTAACCATAATGATGTAACTTAGCCTAAACTTGATATACTGGAACAATTTTCTACTGAAGAATGAAACAACAAAGCATGTATTAATATTTGCATGTTTTTCGTTCAGGTTATGTTGTTTGGAGCAAGTGATAGCTACTCAGAGGACTCAATTTTACAGATAACACTTGCTTTTAATCACTTTGGACAAGGATTGATCCAGAGGATGCCAAGAGTGAGATGGGGATTTGTTCATGCAGTCAACAATGATTACACTCACTGGCTAATGTATGCAATTGGTGGAAGCCAACACCCTACCATCCTCAGCCAGGGCAACCGGTTCATCGCCCCGCCTAACCCTAATGCAAAGGAGGTAAAATTAACAATATCTGTGACCAACAAAGCTGCATCACTATCCTGTGTATGAAAGAAAGTGAACACACCCAGAGGCAAACCTAGAGTTTTGGGAGTGCATTCAATTGATCCCATCATTTTCAACATATTATGTGAAAAACCCTGAAATAGGATAAATAATAAATTTTGAACCTATGTTTCCAAAGAACCTAGTACCTTGAACCTAGAAAAGCACACCCAAAATAGTACATTGTGACTAGCTCTTAATTGAAATTGATGCTCATTCTATTTTTACTTGTAGGTGACCAAAAGGGAGTATTCACCTGAAAGTGTGTGGAAGAATTGGGTGTGGAGATCACAGGGAGATCTGATGATGAACGGAGCGTTCTTTGTGGAATCTGGAAATCCCAATCATATATTCATGAAGGGTCCTGATATGATCCACCCTAGGCCAGGATCATATGCAAGCAGGCTAACAAGATTTTCAGGCTCTTTGAACTGCATTGAAGGGAAGCCTTGTTAGAGCTGTCTGCACCAAGTTACTAATAGAAATAGGACCTGAAACTATAGAAGTCAGTTTGCTCCCTTTCTCCTCTCAAATGCAAAGCTGGTAGTAGAAGGGGAGAATGAGTGTGAGCTAAGATTCAAATGCTTTTAGGTTTTTGATGCTCTGTGCTTCTGTAAATTCTTGAGTCGATGTCCTTTTTCCTTCTACCAATGTAAAAGTGATAAATCCAATAAAATCGCAATTCGAATTAATAGTAGCTATTTTTCATTATATTTGGACATTCCAAGATAAGGATGTTGCTGCCACTGAAACAACAAATAAACAAGGCATTATAGAAATCACTCATTTCTGCAATACAAACGTGAAGGTTTTCTGTATTCTAATAAACAATATCCCTGGTTTTGGAGTCAGGAGTACATACCAAAAGAAAATACATCTGTACAAGATAATCATTGTACAAAATTTCTACTTCTTGTATTGTGCCAATTGAAGGGCATAATTGCTTGCTCTGACAAAAATTCTGCACCTAATTATATAAATATTGAAAGAAAATAAGAATAAAGATCTGGATGCTGTTTTATCTGTCAATTGAGTAACTAAATCTGGCAGCTAAATTGTGTTCATCTGATCTGCTATCAAAAGCTGAAGATAATGGTGTTAATATCAAATGATTGACATTGATCCCCTCAAGGTATATCATCTCTCCTCCAAGAAGATGTCATCTCACTAAATTGCAGAAATTGTTTATCAATCAGTTTAAGATCTGAAAAGGAGTTGATCACACAAATAAAAAAAACTAGTGTAGCAACTCGTAAGTTGGGAAAAAAGTGATATCCAACAAATTAATCATGTCTAAGAATTAGTAAAAGCATCAAAATTTGGAGTATTTTCACGTCAAAAGATATACATCCAAAATAGCTAATACATGGTGTGTTATTATGTTATCTCATAACATTAACATTAGGATGGATTTCCAAGTATAAATAAGCACATTCTGATTTTACTTAAAAGTACAACATTAATTTGAGAATAGCCAGATTCTATTTCAATCATAAATTTCAGCTTTACTGGTTCAAAGATTAGTTGTTGACTACTTTAGGTTATATCTCATATCCTATCTACTCCCTCATTTCCATTTTATATGACACTTTTTCCTTTTTGGTCTCATTCCAAAGATTGATACTTTTGACTTTTCTATATTTGGAAAGCCCTTAATATTAACATTCCCATTTTGCTTTAGGGACATGCTCTTATAGTAATTGACAAAGGATGTTGAAGACCACTAAGTACTAAGGGTACTTGTAGTATGTTACAAAAATATTTGGCTTATTTGTCGAAACTGTTTTTAGAACTCTGCTTCCAGTTTAACCCCATCATATAAAATAAGAGGGAGTATTATTTATTAGCTACCAATATATGACTTCTCCATTTCAAAAATACCACCAGATATAGAGGTTCTTTTGTGTTATAAACTTGATGCAAATTCATTCTTCAGGTAAAAACAGTATAGATAGAAACTGATTACACACCCCTTCAGAGTAAGAATTTAGTGTATGTAACATTATCCAAAGCTAGAATCGCAGGGCGGAACAGTAGACCAATAATCTAGAAGTGTATACACATAGGTAAAAGACAGGAAACTACTGTCAATGATAGTATGATGATATTTGCATGCAAAGAATGTGTAAAGATGTCCCACATAATTTTCTCTTTTCCCCTTAATTTCATAAACCACAGTTGCTTTCAGAATGAGTGGTGTAGACAAACCAAAATGTGATGCTGCAGGCATGACAAACCTTTCTGATTCTGATTGATAGTCCTAATTTCTCCTCTTGTCAAAAGAGGTGCCTCAAGTTTCATCAATTTGGTGAACTGCAGGAGACAATAGAAAGATGCAGCAGAAAAAGACTTGTCATTCCTAAATTGCTTTCAGAAGGTAGAGCAACTCTTCGCCCTCTAGATAATAAAAAGCATGTCTAATAGCATAGAAATCAATTTACCAAGGATATATACCTGTGAAGTCTTCAGCTCGAGCTCTTCCCATTCTAGAGATGAATCACTTCCTTCCACTATCCCAGTTCCCGCATAAATTAATGCGCCAAGACCCTAGTTATTTCATTTTATCAGCATTTTAATAGTTCAAAATAAATCACTTAAATATATTATAAGATCTTGAAAATTTAAAGTAAAATATCTATAACATATGAAATTGGATTAGAAATATTTGTAACAGCAAAATTGATTTTTTTCTAACATGTGAAACATTAAGTACGGAACCTGTGAATCATTATTGATATATAGTAAAAATTATTATACAGCAAAAGTAAATTATTAGTATATAAATACTTATATAGGCGATGTCTTATTTAATTAGTCCCTCATAAAAAAAATTACATCATGTGGTTATCTATCAATTCTTATTATGTGTGGAGCATATACATGCAAACGAGTTCTCTGAAGAGAGGAAGTACTCTAGGACGAAGGTGAAATGCAATGAAATATTAACCTCACCTTTTCAACCAAAGCTGACCTTATTCCAACAGCAAATTCACTCTCTTCCCCTCCAAACCAACCAACAGGACCAGCATACATTCCTCGGTCAAACATTTCTGGGAAACATCAGCTGATATTAAAAGATATACCAGAGCACAAGGTCCAAGAAGCCATCGGTTGATTATCAAAACCTATTAGAATGACTAATTACAGCATTTGAAAGCACCAGCATCCAGGCCGCACATGGAAATCTATGCATGACTTTGCCTTTTGAAAAATATTCCCATATACTGCCAGTGAATATTATGATGAGGATAACTAAGGAGAAGTCTAAGGTTAGATATAGAAAAGCATTTTGAAGCAACGGGAATCAGGCTTTCTATAATTGGTTGAGGTAATAAGTGGACAATCTGACCCATTAAGGCATTAACTACAAGCCTATATTTTCCATTCTGTTATCTTTCTACTCTATCCACCAAGATAAGAAGTCACCTAACATTTTGGGTGCAAAAAGAGCTGGGTAAAAAAAGAATAATCATACCGGTTTCTGAAATAAAAGCCCGTGCATCTTCTGTAGGATACCCACAAACTGCTGGAGTAGGGTGAATGGACGACAAGATCTTAAACTGGAAAACTGTAAATGTTTAGTATGGTACTTTATAAAAGGAACAGAGGAAACAATAAGTTCATCTATACGTATAATCAGCAAATCTTTACTTAATAGTAGAAATTCAAAGTGAGCTTTTGTTTCATCAGTTTTGCCAATTAGAGGGACTGATTATGAACTAATTAAGGAAGATTGGTCGAGAAAATAGTACGGATGCGTCAGTCAGTTCTAGTTCTCATGAAACTTACGATCTCAGTAACTAGTAGATGGATTAAAAAAGATGTCAAGAGTCAAGACTTACCTCATCATCTTCAGTCTGGAGTCTCCCCCTCAATCGAGCATAAAGATGTTGAACTCTTGGAAATTTTCTTATTGCTTTCTTTGGTTCAATTAAAACGCTGGAACACACAGCCTTTGAAACAAAATAAGCTAGCTTTATACAACATGAAAGGTTCCTGAGATACCCTAAAAGTGGACAAGGGAACTTTTGAAATTTCAAATTTGGAATAGATCAAATTTGACATGCTAAATTTTCAACACGTCAACAAAATGGACATGTCACCAAAAAATACTGAACAAGTTGCAAATCTCAAATTGGAAAGTTCAAAAGTGTGCCTTCCCTTATGAAGTCCTCTTAAGATTCTGTTTAGAAGCCACTTAACCAAGCTTACCTCCAATTTTCTTCTTATGCACTCCCGTACGATGGCAAACTCATTATGGTCCTTAGCACTGCAGAAGAATAAAAGAATATAGACAATACGTCACTGGACAAAGAAATACAATAATGACATAATGTGTTTTATCTATAAAGCACAAAAGATGAACCTGGATAGTAAATCCTGTCCTATCTTAAGATCCAGAAGCTCTGATCCACCCCTAGCCCGTGTTCCAGCTAAAGCCTCGCTACAAATGCTGAGGCAGTCCCGATGAAATAGCTGCTCTGGCTATTCAAAAAGAGCATAAGTATTAAATAAAACTATTTTATCTCCTCGCCATTTCTACATCCAGTGTACAAAAAATCCATGTACTTTGATACCATGGCTTATAATTGGCACTAGAAACATTCAGAAGTGAGTTTGATGCTCCAGATAAATAGAAGGTATTACTGAATTTCAATAGATGGAGCAGGAACTTCGTCACAAGAATCCAGTTCTCACCAGTACAACTGCTTTGCTTATCTCCTGAACTTGCTATCAGTAAATGGTTTCATCTATTTACCAGTATCGTAATCAAAGTAATATTTAAAAACTCAGCTATAAAAAGTTTAATAAGATTCTTTTCATTCTAAACACATTAAGGATGTTTGTGGCCAGGCAATTTAGCTTCATGTCCTTTCAATGTTATGGCTTCATGATGGCATCAGGATTTCATACTTGAAATTTTTTTCAAAATGTACGCATAATTAAAATATTTCTCTTCACTCAACAAATACACCAACACAGAAATAACTGTTTTCAGTGCCAATAACTCTTCACATATTAGATGATATAATGAAAGGTGCAATGTAGAACCATCCGGAAATATTTTGCTTGATGTGAATAAAACGTCATTTCACCTGGTCGATGGACCATAATCTATGTTAGTGTCAACCTTGAGGGGATGCACACCAAAGAAAGGATACATTCTATGGATTGAATACATTGCTTCATTACACCATTTAGTTATTGAGAAAGAGTTTGAATTACAGTGTTTCCAATGAATGCCGCTGACTGGGGAGGTTGCAAACAGAACTGATATGCATTTTCTCCTTCAACCTGCAAGACTTAATTCTCTATATTTTAGCAAAAGAAAAAGATACTATGCTAGTGAACTGTTCATCATTATAAGGTAGCTAATCAACACCTTTAAGCAAGATAACCATGTTAAAGGATCAATGTCCGCAGCTGTCACAACTCTGGTGCTACGAGCAAGTACCACCTGTGGTTTACAAGAAAAGGTATGCACTTTAACGCCACCTAGATTTACTCGTTATGAACCCACATACTAATGTGAGCATCAGCTGTATCATTTTGTTCTTCTATTTCTATTAGTCCTCTATGATAATACTTCATTTTAGAGTAAACGCATAGGTGAAGACAACAATACATTGTTAGAATATAACTCAAAGGTAAAGAAAACAACCGACAACCTTGATAAGCATCGGGTCGTTTCTTCTTATTATTTGCAAAGCACGCTTAACAGCTTGGTCCCAAGATGCTTTACCAGGGACATGAGTACTTGCGAGTATATGTGAACAAGATATTTTTTTCTGCACCCTCATAAGAACGGAGGAAACCTGCATTCATTAACATAGGGTTTAAAAGAAAAGTTAATGAGGAAAGAAAAAAAAAAGGAATAAAATGAAACAACCAAACAAAAAGGATTGAATGAAGCGAGAAGGAGAGACCTGCCATATTGTGGCCTGAAGTGCTTCTATTGCCCTCTGGTACGTGCAAGAGACAGCATTATCCCATGCGACTGTTGCAGCAATAACTGAACTTCCTTCAAGCTCATCAAACTCAACCTGTCATTTAGCATCTAGCAACAGATGGATTATATTCAAGAGACAACATGTCTAACAAATAGGTCCTAAGTAATGAAGAGTTGAAAGTCAATCCATTTACCTGAGGGACCATGAAATAAAATGAACCAAAAGCACTCCATTCAGGACCTATATTGGCTGTTGCATCAAATCGGATTGCCCCATAAGCACGAATTAGAGGACATTTCTTGGAGAGGAACCTTTGGCAGAGATAAAACAATGCTAGAGTTCAGAACATAAACAATGAATTTAACCAAGTCTTTTGCTAACTATGGTTCCAGGTTGTTCAACTATTGCTAGTTGAAATCCTTGCACCATTTTGGTTCTCTTATTTCTTATTTAAGAAAATTTTCTGAAGTCTAGCTTCGATAATCTCTGATTAGGATACCATATGACAAAAAATGTCAGTTCTAGCGTAAAACTAAATTTCGAGTCTAGTTTATTATCTTTTTATTAATAAGCATGCTGCCCGCGCCAGATTACATGCACCTCGACTAATTACACGGGATACCTGCTACCTCCCACTAGCAACAGGTACCAGGTAACTCTATCCACCAAGGCTTTGGACAGATTTCAAGTCCAGTTTATTATCATTGTGAAGTTTGTCCAGCTCCAAATTTTCTACCATGATTTAGTAACACTAAAATTGCATAAAACATCATTAGCCACGTCAGATTACCATAAAATGTGAAAGGAAAAGATAACATCCGTGGGTTGATCAATTCAACTTGAAATAATATATGCAAAAAAGTTGTATCAGTAGTGGAAAGATAAGATAAACTAAGAAACTGTGAACTTAGGCCTAGCAATCTCATTAACTCAAACCAGATGGCAAAACAAAGTCAAAATTAAATCATAACTTCTGAACCTATGTGTTACCACTACCCTATTTGGGACCATGTCATGTGATGATTTTTTTCTTTTTTTGATCAGGCAAAATAGATGTGCTTTAACAACTTTGTTTCTTCAAGTTGGTTCCTGATTTTCTCAAATCATTAACTTCATCAATCTGAATCATATTTAACAAAGGTGGATCCAAAATGTAAACTTGATGAGTTCAGTCTTTAAGATTCATAGGTTGAACTCGTTAACTTACGAAATTATGGATTCAGAAATTAATATTTGTTGAATTTTTGGTATGTTGTACACACACACATACACAAAACACATTTAATTTTACACATTCTGTGTCGCTTGAACCCATTGCTTTATCCGCCTTTGATATTCGCACTTAGAAACGACTCTTTTTCTCCAAGTTGCTTCATGTTTTTCTCATTCGCTACACTAATTTCATCAGCTCTGTCAGTCAGAGTCATATCCACACTTAAAAAGAACATTTAGTTGCCCAAATCTTCAGGACAAATTATACCTTAGCCAAAATCCGTGAAGAATCATTTTTGCATAGGCATTTCTGTTTTAGCCATTAAGAAACTCCCTTAAGGACGTAATCTTTAGCTTAATCCTTGAAAGAGAAATACATAAAAATTACCTGCGGATAGCACGCCAATCGTCAAAGGAGAAGGGGCGTAAATGAGTAAAGAAGACAGCAGAGCCGATACCAGCTACACTGACAACTTTAGAAGAGGAATGAGAAGTTCCATTGAAGCACATTTCAGAATCAACAGCTGGCCTTCGACCGGAGAAGAAACAGCGCGGGAGGAGGACATGGTTCTGAGCATGAAGCCACTCAAGCGCTTCTATCTGCTCTTCAATTGGCACCTTTCCAGGACAATACCCATTGTCACAAATATTTTGCAACAGAATTACTAAGATATCAAAATCAATATTCACAAACTATGTAAAATGATAGGGAGTAGTAATTTTTACTATAATACTATAGTTGAAATATGTTTTTAAATTATTTTGAATAAAATTTTGTTATAAGACGGAAAGAATACTACTCCCTCTATTTCCATTTGTTTGACTAGTCTTAGTTTCATGATTAATTTTAGAAAAATAAGTTATAACATGAATTGCACTTTTAATCACAGAAGTATATTTTACAAGAATATAATTATACAAAATTAACGCATGTACAATAGTTTTTATACCTAATTTGGGAGAAAAATATTATAAATAACAACAACAACAACAATAACCCAGTGAAATCTCACAAGTAGGGTCGGGGAGGATAATGAATACGCAAACCTTACCCTACCTTGGAGGGCAGAGAGGTTGTTTCCGAAAGACCCTCGGCTCGAGAGGAAGAATAGGAACAAGTAAATAACAACAACATGCTAGGAAAATGATATCAACAATGAAATAAATGGACAAAGCAATAACAATAGCAAAAGCAATATCCACAAGCAGTAACACGACAGGGTATTAGAAAACCGAAGTGGTAGATAGTATTAAAACAACCCTAATACTAGCATTCTAAGAATCGAAGACAATGTACAAGTCAGCTAGCCCTAATAAACCTAGAACATATCAGAAAAACAGATGACGACCTATTACCCTTCTACCCTAATCTTCGACCTCCATATCTTCATGTCAAGGGTCATGTCCTCGGTAAGCTAAAGTCGCACCATATCCTGCCTGATCACCTCTCCCCAGTACTTCTTAGGCCACCCTCTGCCTCCTCTCCTACCTGCTAGCGCCAGCCATTTACATCTCCTCACTGGGCATCTGGGCTTCTCCTTCTCACGTGCCCGAACCATCTAAGCTTCGTTTCACGCATCTTATCTTTCATAGGGGCCACACCCACTTTCTCCCGACTATCTTCATTCCTAATCTTGCCTAACCTAGTGTGCCCGCACATCCATTGCAACATCCTCATTTCGGATACGTTCATCTTCTGGATATGGGAGTTCTTGATCGGCCAACATTTTGTCCCATACAGCATAACTGGTCTAACCGCTGCCTTGTAGAACTGACCCTTAAGTGTTGGTGGCACATTCTTGTCACACAGGACGCTGGATACTAGCCTCCATTTCATCCACTCCGCCCCTATACGGTGTGTGATATCCTTGATAAGCTCCTCGTCCCCTTGGATAACTGACCCGAGATACTTGAAACTTCCTCTCTTGGGGATAACTTGTGGATTAAGCCTCACGTCTATATCTGCTCCCCCTGACACTACGCTGAACTTGCACTTTAGTTACTCCGTCTTCGTCCCACTCAACTTGAAACCCTTAGACTCTAAGGTATGCTTCCAAACCTCCAACATTTCATTGACAATGCCTCGCGTTTCATCAACCAGTACTATGTCGTCAGCGAATAACATACACCATGGTGCCTCCCTTTGAATATGACGCGTCAGTGTATCCATCGCCAAAGTAAATAAGAACGGGTTGAGCGCAGATCCTTGGTGTAACCCTATCCTAACCAGGAAAAAGTTCCAAGTCCCCTCCCACTGACCTCATCCGAGTCATATCTCCATCAAACATGTCCTTAATCACTCTAAGGTATGCTACATGAACACCTTTAGCCTCCAAGCATTTCCAAAGGACCCCCTAGGGACCTTGTCGTACACTTTCTCTAGGTCAATAAACACCATATGCAAATCTCTCTTCCTATCTTGTACTGTTCCACCAACCTCCTAACAAGATAGATGGCTTTCGTAGTCGAGCGTCCGGACATGAAACCGAACTGGTCCTCGTAAATAGACATTGTCCTTCTAAGCCTCGCTTGTACCACCATTTCCCACACTTTTATAGTGTGACTAAGCAACTTGATACCCCTATATTTTCTACAATTTTGGATATCTCTTTTGTTCTTGTACAATGAGATCATCGTACTCCACCTCCACTCCTCGAGCATCTTTTTCGTCCTAAAATAGCTTTAAATAACCCAGTTAGCCACTCCAATCCAGCCCTACCCGCATACCTCCAGAATTAAACTGGGATCTCATCTGACCCGGTCGCTCTGCCCCTGCTCATCTTACGCACCGCTCGCGCAACCTCCTCGAAACTATACAGTACCTAAAATCACAATGACTCGAAGTGCTCCAAATCGCCCAGCACAATGCTCCTATCCCCATCTTCATTCAGGAGTTCATGAAAGTAAGCCTGCAACCTTCGCTCAATCTGTGCCTCCTCCATTAAAACTTTATCGTCCTCGTCTTTGATGCACCTCACTTGGTCCGGATCACGAGCCTTCCTCTCCCTCATCTTAGCCAACCGAAACAACTTTCTGCCCCCGCCTTTGTCCCTCAACTCTTCATACAAACGAGCAAATGTTGCAGTCTTAGCTTCCGTGATCGCCAACTTCGCCTCCTTCTTAGCCTTCTTATATTTTTCTCTGATGGTCCTCTTCTCCTCCTCGTCCATGCTCTCTACTAACTTCATATATGTTGCTTTATTGGCTTCTACTTTCCTTTGGACCTCTTCATTCCACCACCAGTCTCCTTTATGGCCTCTAGTGTAACCTTTTGAAACCCCTAACACCTCTCTTGCAGCCTCCCTAATGCAGTCCGCCATCCTCGTCCACGTACTACTCGCGTCCCCACTACTCCTCCAAGCCCCTATAGCTAACAACTTCTCTTGCAACTCCTGAGCCTTGTCCTTAGTCTGAGCTCCCCACTTGATCTTCGGTCGACCACACTCAACCCTCTTCTTCCTCTTCAGCACGATATCTAACTCCATCACCAAAAGCCTATGCTGGGTCGTAAGGTTCTCACTCAAAATAACCTTACAAATAGTACACATACCTTTATCACACCTCCTTAAAAAGGAGATGGTCGATTTGGGTCTTGGTCGCCGTGCTATTGAAGGTAACCAGGTGTTCCTCCCTCTTCTGAAAACTCGAGTTTGCTATCACCAAATCAAACGCCTTAGCGAAATCCAACAATGAAGTACCTCGTTTCTGACTCCAAAGCCAAAGCCGCCATGCACCTCATCATATCCCCCAGCAGACCTCCCAATATGCCCATTAAAATCCCATCCAATGAATATCCTTTCGATAGACGGAATATCACGCACAACCTCATCCAAACCTTCCCAAAAGTGCATTTGACCCCCCCCCCCCCCCATCCAAGCCCACTTGGGGTGCGTAAGCGCTAATAACATTCAAAGTACGCCCTCCAACCACTAATTTAATGGCCATCAACCTATCATTCACCCGCCTAACCTCTACCACTAGCTCTCTGAGATCCTTGTCCACCAAGATTCCCACTCCGTTCCTACCCCTCTTACATCCTGAGTGCCACAGTTTAAACCCGTCCACCTCCGCGCCTTATACCCTACCCACCTAGTCTCTTGGACACAAGCTATATTAATCTTTCTCTTCTAGAGAATCTTAGCTAATTCTATAGACTTCCTTGTCAAAGTCCCTATGTTCCAAGATCAATTCTCAACATAATAGCGAGAAAAATATTATAAATAAATTGTTTAATTTATGTAATTTTTAAATTTTAATTAATTTTAATGTCCTAAACATTAGGACTTTTTGTATAGTATTTCAAATAAGAAAGTTTTGATAAGCAAAGTTGGTTGACTATAAAGTTGTAAATCTTTAAAAAATAATTAAATAATTATTTTGTGTAACGTGAGATCTATTTTCAATAGTGTTAGGGTATGCGCTTTCTAAATGGCAAAGCATATCATAGTCTATATTTTTAAAAATAATATAACTAATATTCAAAACAGATAAAACACCTTTTTTAATTATGCATCGAGAAATTATAATGTGATGGTTGACATGTCTATAAATTCTCTCCTTGTGAAGGTAGTTTAAACCAAATCTATGTTAGGTTCATTATGAAACTATATCAGATTTTACTAAATATTTGGTTAGTGTATGAAAATTTTGCGAGCAATAAAAGGTTTAATTAGATTCAGACAACTACTTCAAATGATATTTTTATTTATAGACAATCCAACTAATTATATATGTAGTATATTTCAATTATTTGCATTAAATTGATTGCGATTTGATTTAGTCTAAAAATGATTTAATTTATTCTAACAGGAAAAAGAAAAAACAAATTGCCAAAGAGTTAGAAATAAGAATTTTCTAACATTTCTGAGATAAATAAAGAAGGAAGAAAGTCAAACTTAGAAACAAACTCTTCCCAACTATTCAAATTTACTTCTTTTCTACCCGATAAATAAACAACTACATGTCACAGTCTTGTATAGTTTTACTGGATTAAGTTCTTAGTTTCTTATTATTCCTTTGAATTGTTAAATAAAATTTTATTATACTTATTTGAGCATAATAATTGTAATGGATGATACATAAAACACGACGCATTGGAATATATTTAGAGAGCAAAGACAAGATAATTCATTATAATTGAATTATATAGTTAGTTTACACAATATTTTTCATTTTCTATTCCAAAATATTAGGATTCAAACTATTTTAAATAAAGAAAGAAAATGTTAATTGATTGAAAAGTCATAAATATTAGAAAATAACTCCAATTACATTTTATCCAATGAAAAATTAATTTTTAAAAGGGTAAAAAAAGCGAACGATATTTCGCTAAGAGTTTTCGTGCTTTTAATACAACTAGTCTCTATGTTCGTGGAATGCACGAGTATGTTTAGGTATTAAAGATAGAATTACTTAAAGGATTCTTGAAACAATTCTATTCTCAACCAAAGTCTGGTTCTCTTTAGTTTGGATACTTTTGGAATTTTTTTTGGTTATCAAATGTGGAATCGTTAAGTTCAATTTAAATTCATTTTCCTACATAACTTTACCTTTTTCTAGTAACTCCTGACTTTACTATAATTCTTAATATGTATTCTACTGAAAAGTTAACTTAGTGAGTCTTCGATTTTACAAGTTTATTCATATTAGAATTGTCTCTTTGAACACTAATTTATGTTTTGGAAGGTATACAAGTTGGTCAACATTTTTAGGATATTTTTGCCATTTAGTTAGTTCATCTAAAGTTTAAAATATAAATGAGTTACATAATTTATCCAATATAAATTGTGGCAAAAATGTAATTAATTTTTCCAACACGAAATTATCTTTTGAAAAAAATCGTTGCTACTCATTAGAACTTGTTAATTATAATTAGGATAGTTTCGACATAGTTCGTCATAAGTTTCTGGACTTCTTTCAATCTTAGCCGAATTCATTGGACGAGAGGACTTCAATCAGACAACAATAAAAATAATTGTTGTCTGTATATAATTTTGGAAAAAAGAAAAGGTTCTATCGAGATAAAGTGGATTGGGAGAGTAGTACAAGATATATAGAATATATATTGAAGGATTAAAACCCTAAGAATTTGCTCCCTACATAATTCTCGGTCGTATGTGTTCAAAGTAAAGATAACTCTCCATACAAATTGTTTACATCCTTGTAGAACTGGTTTGGTTTTAGAATTGTCAATAATATGTAGGACACGATATCCCAAATAGCTAAAAGGTTGGAACTTTACTAAGATTAGAAGTCCATATAAATTAATATTACATAAAGGTTATTACAATTTTATTCACTATGAAATTATTTTTTGAAGAGATAACTTAACTATCAAAGGACATAAAAGTCAATCAATATTTTAAAGATATTTTAGTCTTTCAACATTTAGCATGTGATATTCGTGCTTTTATAATAACTAGTCTCTATGTTCGTGCCTCGCATGAAATATTTTAAATCAAATATTATAAAAACGCGTAACAAAATTATAAACTTTCACTTACCTAAAAATTCTAATTAACCTTGCTACTTGTTACTCCTAATAAATTTAATTTCAGTATTTTGAAAATATCTGACTATATAAAATTGATTTAGCTTCCGCTGAATTGGAATGTAGTACTCTAAGTTTACCTAGAGGAAAGCTTAGTATATTTAATCTTAGGTTTCTAATTTCACATAAGCAATTAAAGGATGGTTTTTAGTTGAATTTAAAGTTGTAAATATTGGATAAACTTTTTATAAGACAATTTTATCCAACATGGAATTGTCTTTAGAGGGAACTTAGCTTTGAAAAGACATAAAAATCGATCAACGTGATATATTATTTTTTTTAATTTAATATATTTTACTATAGTTTCAACATTTAATAAATATCTATTGAACGTAAAAGTATAATGCATATGAGTAAGTATAAGCTTTTTCATACAAATTGGAGAACCAAAAATCAAGCGTGAAACATGCATATTGCTATCCATAAAGATTAATGATACTATCCTTTGAACCATATGCATATGCGGTGAGTACAATAGCAGTCCAAAACGAATTAGAATTTTACATCCATGTGTAATTTAAATGGAATAAGAAGTTTATCCGTGAATAATATTTTAAAATTTACAATTACATCCATTTTTAACTTGGTTTGTTAACAAATATTTTAATCTTTTAAGAGCATAAAAGTCTATCAATAATACAGGGATATTTTTGTCGCTCAACATTTAGCATAAATTATTCGTGCTTTTATAATAATAATATCGATACTAGTCTCTATGCTCGTCGGTTGCACGAATATCTTAAGTCAAGTATCACACAATTTGTATAAAATATGTTAAAATTTAAATCGCTTTTATATTCTAATAGTATCATTTATTAGAGTAATATAATGAACAAATTAATGTATTAACTACCATCGTTAGTAAATTAATATGAATTAGAGCTTCAGTTTAAAGAATTTAATGTTTAGCTAGTCTACTTCAAAATATTAAATATTAGACATTCCTAATTTATTACGATTTTATTCAATGTGAAATAATTTATGTGAAAAATAATTAAAGCCTAATCCCAATAAATTTCAATTTCTTTCGGTCCAATGTGATTTAGTCTTGATCCTGTGTTGTAAATATAATTCTATAGTTGTTCCTTTGATCTACAATTATGCTAGCTTATGATTACTAATATAGTTATCTTATTAATAAAAATTAAAAAATTTAATGTCCGGAACATGGAAAAGAGGGTCAAAATCAGATTTCTAAAACTATAAAATCAAAGACAAAACCGTTTAAGTACGTTATATTTGTAATACAATACAGTATAAAATGTACAAAAGTTCTTTTGAATAACAATGTGTTGTTAGTATTAGATAACAAACTCAAAATGTTTTAAGAAAATAAAATTAGTCGAACCTTTGTTTTTCACCTCTTGGAATTCAAACGAAAACTAAAAAGTTTTCTTCAATTTTGTAAACTAATTATTATTTTAATTTTAATACTTTGAAAATATTTGAATATATACAATCAAACTAACTTCGTTCAATTCTAACGTATCTGTTCCACGTTTAGCTAGAGGAAAGTTTAGAATATTTAGGGATAATACATAATTACCACATTGAGGTTGTACCAAAGTGTCAGTTGCACTCCTTAAAAACGCGGGTGTCCTATGACTTAGATTTTAAGGATTTTTTTTTTTTTTTTGTAAAATTTAATTTAAATTTTATATGATATTTGTGTGAATATAAAACTTAAATTTATAATAATTATTAAACATGCTATTAAATTTGTGTTAATATAAAAGTTTGAAAAATTTACAATTAAATTATTTACAAGTATCAAATATCTCAACCTTGTTTAGAACAGGGAAAAGAGGGTCACATATATAAAATATTTCATAAGTCTCTGACTTCTTAAGATTTTACAGAACTGATGCCAGTTAATATCAAAATTAATATTTTTAATATCTGACAATTAAAAAATTTCCCATATTCGGGATATTGTGCATAAAATACACATTGTCAATATCTAATTTTGCTAGTGACTGATCACTAATTCACTATAATGTCATTGACAAGTGTAATCATTCGAAACCTTTTAATTTCAGCCTTATACTAGTTTTTCTCTGTTCATCAATTTTTAATTCGAAACTTATGATTAATATTCTAATAAATATTAATTTGCTTGTGATCTCCTAAATACTATTACTATAACTTATAAAATTTAGAACTTGATTTATAAGTTAAGTGAAATTTACTCTTCTATTAATTACTGTATTTTGCAGGGGAGCCTTGGCGTAACTAGCAAAGTTGTTGTCATGTGACCAGGAGGTCACAGGTTCAAGCTGTGGAAACAACCTCTTGCAGAAATGCAGGGTAAAGCTGCGTACTATGGATCCTTGTGGACCGGCCCTTCCCCGGATCCCGTGCATAGCGGGAGCTTAATGCACCGGGCTGCCCTTTATTAGTTACTGTATTTTCTAAGCCCAAAATGGAGTGGGGAGTTGCAACTCCTATAAATTTAGTGTTGGTGGTAATGGTCTATCCTCAAGAAGATCGATTGTTTGGTTTTTGAGGCTAGATAAGGAATACGATCACGAACTCTATAGGCTAATCTGAGCCAACCACGTGTCTTATATATACTCAAAGATAGACAAGTTGGATTACTATCCTGGTTAATTCCCTTGTAAACTGCATTCGGCCTTTGACATTCAATTGCAATGATGAATTGCGGATTCAAAATTTTAGATTAGTTATGCAAACTAATTCCCTCATAACATTAACGGCGTTTTCCATATATAGAGAGTCTATTTTTGCACACTAAGTATGTATGTATGTATGTATGTATGTATACATATGAAATGAGTCCATGTTTATGTGAGTGATAAAGATTTACCTCAAGACGAATGATACCGGAATGGTAAGGAGGAGGCTGGGACTTAACCAAGTCAGAGATGGCAGAATTGAGACGTTCCATGGCTAATGCAGGGCTAGAAACTGCAGGAAACGTTCTTGTTTCTATGGTTCCAATAGGAGCTCTTGGGTCGCCTTGGCACCCATTCATTGACAATGAACAAGACTGATGATATGATCTCTGTTTAATTGACCAAACACAAAGACATGATAATATATCTGTAAGAGAACAAGCAAGCTATTGCAGAATACATTAATTATCTTACTTGGTTAGAGTTGGAGAAATGAATAGACTGCTTTCCAATTCCATTGAGAGGAGAAGACAAGAGCGAGCATTTCATGAGAGATGACTCACGTAGAGTGCAGTGCTTTGCACCTACAGCCATTAACATGTACAAGAAACGATAGGAAAACTATTGTTTTCTTTTGAATAACAATTTGCATACATACAGAAAGAAGATTAGAACTCATAAACATACCATAAACAAATAGTCAAAAGTTTTGGTAGGCTATTATTATTGGCCATAGATGCTCTGAACAGTGGGCCACCACTACCATCTTAGCCCACTACAAATTAATTGTGATAGAGGAGTGGAAAAACTCTCGTCGCATTGTGCCCATTCGTCTCACTATATCTCTTCTCTCTAATTATTGTTATTTACTCTTGCAGCTACGAGTAAGCTTCACCCTTTTTATAGCCACGTGCCTAAATTTACTTTAGGCCCTATGATTACACCATTTTATCCTATGATTATATTAAGGTCCTGTGGTCACCATCAAATTCAGTTTGTGATTACATCAAACGCAATTTAAGTTCCCTATTTTCATTGATCTTGTAAGTTATGCACATGCCTAATTTTACTTTTAAGTTCTATGCTTCCTCTATTGAGCATTCTCGTACTTGCCGGAAATATAAAAATCTTTCAGTACTTCTTATATTTTATATAATGTCGTCTTAAAATAAAATTTTAATGAAAAATATGGTTAATGAAGATCCATATTACCGACCTGAATTTGGGTAGTGGTCTCAGGACTAGGCTATTTCATCAAGTCTATTATTACCTCGAACCATCAAGACTTACGGAAATAAAAAGATTTAGTATTTTCGTGTCTGTCTCCCCAAACACATCTAAATGAAGGCGTATAATCATACATCTCTTTGCTGAGATTACCTCTTTGCAACCATTGTAGCACTGCGCAGTCTAATCTTTTAAGATAATGCTTGATCGTGCTCCTTTATCCTTACTTAAAGACACTAAGTGGACGTTTGGAGATAAGAATTGTAAAATTCCAAAAAAAGGGAAAAAAAATTCAAGTGAAAATGGTATTTGAAAATTATAGTTATGTTTGGACATGAATATAATTTTGATTTGCTTTTGAAATTTTGTGAATGATCTGAGTGAAACTTTTTCAAATTTTCGAAAAATTTCAAAATTCTATCTTCAAGTGAAAATTGAATGGCTCGAAAAAAAAATGTAAAAATTCTTATGCCCAAACGGGCTCTAAAGACCCCTAACGGAAATATTGAGGTAACCAACCCATTGACAAAATCTGGAACCAAGGATTTACTGTTCCTTAGGCAAAACACCTCCAAGTTCCAGCAAACTTATGCGATTACCGAAGAACATTCATGTATATGTAAATGTTTGCTTATTTAAATCTCTAACAAACTCCTCAGTTCTGCAACACAAGGAGAAACTGCAAATTGGCGCTGAAACATGTGGGAACCAGGTAGGAAGAGATGACATCTTTAGCTACTTTGCATGAACCACTTTTGCCATTGAACCCCCTTCATTTCCAAAATTTTCCATAGTACAGAGGCAAGAATGCACCCATGGCTATTGCCCAGGCCCACCAACTATCCATTTTTCTCCTAGTAAAACGAATTATTACTAAATTATAACAGAAATAATTTAGCCTCCGCACAAGGCTGGCAGGTTTCTTCCTCTCCAGCACTGCTAAGAAGTGATTTTAGACCCATCTTCTCATGTACTATTCATCTCCAGCATCAAGCCCAGATATCCGATGCCGCCTCTTGTCAGAGCCTGTTCTGAAAGACTCGAAAACAGCCCTAAACGACTCACGCTCTGCTCGTAGTCTCTCTTGAAATATGTTTTGCCTCTTTGGTTCACCATTATTTCTAGTTGATATCAACTTCTCTTCTTCCGGCAAAGGGTTAGACTTCTGCATATATGTTGAAAGAATAAGACAGCTTATCGTATTGGTTCCAACTTCCACGTATACAGAAATTGAAAGCATATACCAACCAAATGTTGTATTATGAAGAACAAGCTTTCCAGAAAGTAACAAGTTACTCAGCAAGGTTACAAGCATAATATAGCTAAATAAACACCAACATGGAAATGACGATGATTCAAATCATTTAAATAATAGTGTTCGTGGAATCTCACCAAGTTGTATCCTGCACCAGGACCAATTAATAAGGATACATTGGTCGCTTTTGTTGCCCCTATTGAAAAGCCTCTTTTGGTCACCTAAAAAAAAAAAAAAAACACAAGTGAGCAGAAAAATTTAGCGAGAGAATTTTTTAATATGAACAGTAGAACAGATAGGGAAAAAACACAATCAGATTGGTAGAAACAGGTAAATCTCTACTTCCTCGTAAAGATTTTGGTAACACTGTAATAGATAAAGTTAGTAAACTGGAACAAGTTACAATTATCATCAAAATCATTCAACACCACCAACCTTATTGCTCCCTCTGTTTCATTTGGACTGGTACGAAGTTCAAAAAGGGTGAAGAAGTCTTTTGAATCTTGTGATTTTAAACTAAAAAGTTTGCAGAATATACCAAAATTACCGTTGTAAATCTTGTGATCTTAATGCCAAATCATTCCTACAAGGGAGCGTCATCACTGATAAAATTGGAATGTTGTAAATAAAAACTTACCAAATATAGAAGGTGACATTCTTCTTGAAGCAGACTAGAAGAAAGTACGGCATAAATTGAAACGAGTAATAGCTACGTAAACATGCCAATATGATACACACCAATGCCAATGTGAATGAAGAAACTTCCCATCAAGCGTAAATTTTAATGAGATGGAACCACTTACCACTCAATCTTTCCTCCCCCTAATGCTAATGTAAAACTGGAAAAAGAAATCTCCCCACAACCTTTCAATGACATGGAACCACTCAATTCAATTTCCAAAAATTCTTCAATCCCCTTCGGGATAAACAAGATCTTTGCTCAAAGGTTTTCTCATCATTCGAAAGTAATCAATATCAGCTATATAGGTGCTTCTCTTTCTGATAAGTATCTATAACAGTAATGAAACCCACTGATATAAAGCATGCGGATACCAAAAAAAAAAAAGCATGAAGATACATACACTCCAAACTTACAATAATATTGTTAAGAGAAGAATCGTTGAAGTTCCCCATGTGCAACCCAACAAAAAAAGGGGAAACTCTTCACGACAGTGTATCCAGCAGACCCTTGCTAGGTTTAAGTGAAAGGAGATGAGACGATGAGAAGAAGAAAAGATATAATGACTCAAATACGTCAATCTTTGCTGGTAAACCCATCAGAAAAAAGCAGAGATGGAAAGCAGACAGCTGAAAGGTTTTCACCAATCATTTTCACATAAAGAGAACCACATCAGCAAAGGACTAGGAATAGCTATCGTCCATAACACATATATGTTACCTGGTCACCCCAACGTACTGACTTCCCTTCTTTGCTGTAAGATTGTATCAACCCTGAGAGAGCATTTAAGTTTTTAGTGGAGTCTTCATTTCTTCGAGTATCATCTTCATCCAAATCAGATGACCATTTACTCTTTGCTAATCCTTTTACTTCAGCTATTTGGTCAACTTCATGGTCCGACTCCTGATCATCCTTTACATCGCCTAGTATTAAATTAAATAATGAAATATAATTAGATGCCTTATTAGACACCTTTCTGAAACCAAGACAATGAAGAAAGGACAAATTTGTATGTATCTACTCCGGAATGATATACATAAAGATAAAGAGATCCTTAGACTACATTTAATAGAGCCTAACTCATGTGACAAGTAATCACTGGAAGGGAGAATATGTTCAGCCCCAGTGGTCAAAGATAAAAGGGTTGACAGCTGAACCTTGGAATTAGCCAAGTTCAACCACCATAAGAAGTTGGGTTCTTTGTGTTATTACACAATAAAATTAGCTCAACTTTGCTTGAAGTCTCAAAACAATCATATGACCTACAATTACTACATCAAATCTAAAATTTTAGAAAAAAGGGCAATGACCATTGTTGCTAAGGTAGGAAACAATATACATTTACACTAGAACTATAGCAAATTTGATTTGGGATAATTATTCAGAAATGACTCCATCCATGCTAACTGTGAAGTTGTTCACTAGTTAGAATTTGCATACAACAAGAAGGACGAGATCATAATAAATACAAACGATCCTAATGAGTAATGACAGAATCATGACCTACCATCAGCCGGAATATCCTCTTGGGGAGGTATACTAAACTTCTCAATGTTCTCTTCATCTAAAGCAGAAGGCATTCCCAATGAGTCATCATCTTCCATGTCCATGTCCACCTGCAGATCCAAAATAAGACCCATAATTTTAGAAGTTTCTACCTCCCAGTAGCACAAACCGCACATGCTTTGGTAGTACCACCAGAGAAAGATGTGAATAAGACATTATAAGTTAGCACATTATCTCAGTTTTATGTTTTATAAATAAAAGCCACATTATTAAATGAACAAAGCTTAGGTGCCAAAAGGCGAACTATTCTCGAAGCTAAATAATGTCAAATTTACAAGCCATGGGGTTCTTCTATTTTATTTTTTTGACAACTTCACAAGCCATGAGAAAATTTTACTTTATGCCAAAACTGTATAAAAGAAATTGTTGGACTCTCCAAGTAGCATTTCCAACGCAATCATAGGCTAGTCTGTTTCTTTTTTCCTTTTACAGTTAAAAGGCCAGACAGCTACTTCCAGATACTCCAAAGCACAGATAAAGGTGGCAGCATCCCATGCCATTAATCTGCCTCTCATACTTGAGTGGATGCCCAAGTATCCATCGGGTGTTTACACTAGGGGATGCAACAACTGGGCTTATTTGAGGTTATTTACAACAGACCCCATTCCTAGTTCCTACCTCCTCCTTCCTCTCCTCTTTCCTCTTCAACCCCCTACACTAGTTGTACAGGGCTTTATCTTTCGCTTAGTAGCTTCTATCTGCAACTTTAGGCAGGCCTCACTCCATCTCCTAGGAGAACTCTAGGGGTTACATTGAACATGTGTGTCTCTGTCCACACACACGGTCATGTGCGTGCATCAATTGAACCTAGGTTGGATAGTCAACAACAACAACCCAGTAGAATACTAGGTTAGATAGTATTCAATGAAATATGAATAGCAAAATTTACCTCTTGGATTCCACCCTCCTCCAGAGCATCTCCATGAAGTAATGACTGCCACATTGTTGAAATAACACACAAGAACAAAAGACATATTAGCATCCAACTCCTAAAAGCTGATAAAACTGACTTCTTACATAAGGTCTAAAAGACCACACTAACAACAACTACTCTGAAATAAGTTGAATTGTATAAATCCACTTGAGAGTCCAGGAAT